TCGTCCTTCGTCGATGTGGAAGATCTCTGACACCATTGCTGTGAGCATCGGATCGTCAGCGCCCGCAATACGATCACAAAGATGTGCCTCGAAAGTCAAATACGACACATATGGTTTCCCTTTTTCTGCCCAATGTCCTGTGTCTTCAAACATGTTGTTTCCTTCTGCTGGAATCTGGGCGGAAAACGGCACATCAAGTTCGGGTGGCATGTTGCTGGACATGTCGGGACTACCTATATACTTCTGAATGTATGCTTTTCATGGAGCGTGTGCTCCAAGTGGAGGGTTGCAACATTTGATAGGCCCATTGGTGACTCAAACCAATGTATACATGAGCGCTCCCTGGAAACGGAGGACAGTTTCACTCCAGATGTTGCCAGCCAGAGTTTCCAATACCCTCAACTGGTCGGACATCGCAGTGGAAAGTCATGGGTTCAAGGTTGGATGGAAACTCCAAATTGTTACAAATTGGCAGGGAGCTGAAGGCAGAGGACTGGACGGGGTTCGTGCAGACTAGTGTAGATGGCTTGACAATGATACATGATGATTGTGAACAAACCGATGGTCATGAACAAACTCGAAGCACTCACAGAAATCAATCTTGATGATGACGACGATACACAGTGCAAATAAGAACCACAATAAAGGCAACGTCGAGTTTTTGGGAAAGGGGTTCATCTGGGACACGCATACAGGGATCATCTGCGCCACCCAGGGGAGGGATTCACCAAGTCAGAGATCATCTGCGGCACTCCCCCTTTAACTTTTATTAAGCAAGAACCAGGAATACTAAAAGGGGTAAAATGGGAGGGATCATCTGCGACACGCACTCCAGGATCATCTGCGATACACGCACTCGGGGGGGCATGGGCACGTCCCATTTCTACCTTTCACATCAGCATTGATACGATGTTCTTGCACGCATTATGTACCCTTCTCATCACCAAGGCACTGCATAGTGCTGCACAAGATAGTCATATTCTGTGGGTAGTGTGGGCGGGTTGTGGGGTGGGGTGAGTAATAAAAATCAAGAAACCACAATTGAAACTTGAAACAAGCATTGGTTTGGGGACAAGCAAGGATGTTGCAACCCTGATTGCTTGCGCCTTATCAAGCAATCGAGTCTTCAACTTGTATCCCTAGATCAAGCTTAGCTTAGCTGGCTCACAATCTTTAGCTGAGAACTTAGCTGCTTCTGAGCCAGCTCGCCACTCTCGCGGCTTAGCAACTTTCACCACTTCGCCAGCTCGCGCCAACTCACAACTTAACAGAAAGGGACGCTGTCAGGTCCCCCAAAATACACGTTTCTGGGAATACATTGAATTATAAACATGCATTGTGTTTATCTTTATATACAGCAACTAGATAGTATAATGTTACTGTAGCAATTCTTTTTTTGGGCTGATCATATTCAAAAACATTCAGCAAAGTGTACAAAAGTAGAAGCTGGATCGATAGGAAAAAAAGAAAGCAAGGGACGCTGTAGATTGTGAAACAATATGCTAATGCAATGATTGACATTTGAGAATAGAATATAACTGAAAGATACTGAAAGTATAGAAGAGACTGAACACAGAAGAGGATGAATAAAAGCTAAACAATATCAAGAACTATATACCCCGCTTTCAGAATAGGTCGCTATATCCGGAAACGAGTAGACGGCGCCAGAAAGTGCCAAAAACGCACCCGGAAGAAAACGTGCAACAAACCGCGATTTAAACATAAAAAACATATAATATACCTATACATCTTCAAGCATAGTAAATGGCATTCCACCCATTCACAGAGTAGACTTGCGCCATCTTCTGCAAAGCTGAGAATGTAGTATAAGATGTCGATTTTTGTAGACCACCTCTCTCTCTCTCTCTCTCCTCTTGCTGTTGGAATCCCATTTTTTATGTTCTTCTCTCTTGAACTCTCTTTCTCTCTCATTCTTTCATATTCTCTCTCTCTCTCTCTCTCCTTCTCTTCCTTTCTCCTTTTCTACCCTTTCCTTAATGTCTCCTTTCCCTCTCCTTGCATGCCTTTCTTTTCTTTCCTGTCCTTCATTCATTTCTTCTTTCCGTATCCGTCCCTTCCCTTCCCTTTCCCTTTCCTTGCACGTGCACTTCAATCTCCATTGACCCATTATCAGAACGTTGCACGATAATAGCCAAGTAGATGGCACAACCCTTTGTGTGAAAGATGATTAGGATGGTTGAGCCAATAGCTGGCGCAACGCATTACCCTTTCCTTCCCATTCCTTCTAGTATCATAACCTTTCCATAAAAAGAATCTCCTTTCACATAAACCACTCAAAACACATCATTGGAAAGGTGGCTTGCGCCATCTAATGTCGTGCTTGCTGCTTTCAGGGCCAAAAAAAGATTTAGCGGTTTCTCACGAAACGGATTGTAAAAGTAGATGGCGCCAAACCAATCCCCGACTAGTAGTTTCCCATTCATTGTCATGGTTTTTCGCCTAACATGGCTTGCGCCATCTGCATCTGGGTCTTTTTCGATCCAGAGGCGTTTTTCCCTGCACAATAGATGGCTCATTACAAAAACCTAAGCCATGTACTCTGACTATAGAGTACTTGTAAATACCCAAAACTAAACTAAATACTAATGATATTACCTCGTCAACATACAACATAGCATATTTGAATAAGACCTATAAACAATCATATAAATCATATGTTTGAGAAAAAAAAAAAAAACTCACCACGTATTTTGGGGGGACCTAGTGGCGTCCCACTCTCCAACTTAACCGGCTATATACCTCCAGGCTTAGCCATACCTCGGCGGCAACCACCACATTGTCGCCCTCACACTGTGTTACCTTGCAAGACCCAGCTACCAGCAGAACCACCTCACCACCTGCACCGAACAATGACATCAGCCCACGCAAGGACTCAGCCCTTGACATTAAGCAACAATAGCAGAACAACAAACACGTGCATCATAAAGGTAAACTCACCAAGCGGACCACCCATATATATAATCTAAAGTTCGACTCGAGGCCATTTTTGATCTCTAGCTGAACATTGTTGCAGTTGCTTTACGATGCTGTACGGATCTTTATGGCATCCTGTTCTGTTGAAACAGCGCTACAAGTCGTTCATCTGTGTTAGAGCATAAAATGCACTCAATGCATCTCAATGTAGGGTAACGGTAAATCTCAACAGTGCATAACGGTGCCCATTCATATTCATATTGAGCTTGAACGGCTTGAAGAAACTGCTTGTCTTGCGGCACTTTGACAGTATCCTTCACCCATCATGAGCCAGAGGACACAAAAAAAAATTGCAAAGCTCACCGTTGCAGCTGTGGTCTTCACATCAAAACTCAATTCTTCATCCTGCCTTGTCCCAGACAATAAAGACCACGTCCTCGCATGCAATGACGTCAATGGACTCCTCCAAGATGATTTGCCCACCTTTGATGCTTTCCTGTGGCAAATCGTCGCCGACCCTCGACGCAGTTCCCTGTACCAAGATCTTGATGTCTCCATCTTCGGCTCTATGGATCATGTCGCCTGAAGGGTTTGCAGGTGTGAAAACAAGGCGTTGAAATTTGAAAAAGCATGTGTTTGAACCCTGACGGTTTGTCATGTGACCGTTTGTCTCTCGCACCTTTTGATGCTTTGACCCATCGGTAGCCACCACGTTCAAGGAGCTTGCGAAAGAGGCGCATGGAAAAGCCTTTCTGATGAAATGCACGAGCATAAAGGAGCGCTTCATTCTCGTTCAAGGGCACTACTTCTGACTTGGTGCAAACAGCATTGAGCGCTGCCAGAAGCGCAGAAGCCAAGGTGGAACCTGCAGGTGTTGATTGCAACAATGAGTTGATAGCTGATGTGAACTCATTCGCAACCAATTGCAGCTGTTGAATCCACTCCCCAGTATCCAGCTGCGGGGGATTGTCATGAAGATGGTTCAACACCAGCACAGTGGCTCCCAATGTGGCCGCAAATTCGGTGGTGTCCGCCACAATCTCTGTACGATCTCCTCGGCACCGGAAGAGCGTGTTCAGGCTTTAAGAGACACAAAACATATTGCTACTAGTAGCATCCTTGCTCCTAGTAGTACAGCCAGGAGCCCCTAGTAG